AAAAAAAAAAAAAAAACCGGGGGGGGGGGGGCAATGTGGATCAGGACTTCAAACATTAGAGGAATTAGGGTTATTTTGCTTCACCTTATTTTCTATTTCATGTATCATAAGAAAACATGAAGAAATTTTGAATAGCTGAGAAGAAGAATTTTGTAAGTAAAATTTTACTGAAAGTGATGTTTTGTTTTCAGATAAAGAATACGATTCCTCCATTCTCCTTAATTAAACTTCTATAGAAAACCCAAAACCTGAACAGAAAGATATATTGGGTTAAATGCATTTATTCTTGACAATAAATTTGCGCTGTATTTATTCTCTGCGAGTAACATTAACAACAGCACTTACCAACTTTGGTCACAATTTTATGAAGTAGATCTAGGTCAGAGCTGCTGGGTAGATAGGGGTTGCCAGTGGCCATCTCGATAATCATACAACCTAAAGCCCAGATGTCCACAGGTCTAAGATCAGGAAATGAACAAAGTGCTCAACAATACAAAGGCTAAACTTACAAAAGAAGTCTACTTCTTATCATATAAATGTTCTAAAATAAATCAAAGAAATTTCACCTTTTCTTCAAGAAAGCAAAATCAGTCGACTAACACACATACAACATGCACACACAAATCTTGCCATCCATGGAAGTCCACCAAATGCCTACTTTATAATTAGATTTGCAGCATCCCTATCTTAATTTCTCATATAGTCATAATACTGACTGCAGTGGAATGTAATTCTTTTATATAAAATTTCATATTGATACCAAACTTAGAGTGCACATCCAGCTGGCAGAGCCTACTGTAGCCCAAAACTCCTCAGCTCAAACTTTTGAAACTGTTTTGCTTGTGCTTTTGTAATCAAGGTTTTACCATAATACAATATTTACAGCTCTCTTCAAACTGTAGATTATGTACAATATTCTGTAAATTGCTGAGACTGTCATTGAATACGTATTTAGTCTTTGTCAAAAGAGTCTTCAGCATGTAGCAACAGCACCTGGCTGACTTTGTCTGAATTGGGAAATTAAGCAGGGTTGGGCCTGGTTAGTATTTGGATGGGAGCCTCCAGAGAATACCAGAGCTACAGACTAGAATGGAAAGTTTTAAAAAAAATCTAGAATAAGCAATGGCAAACCACTTCCATATTGTTACTGTACAAAGAAAACTACATGGCTGTTCCCTGAAGTTCACTAGGAGTCGAGTCTGATTCAAAGAAGACTTTTTAAAATCAAAACAAGGACTATATAAATGTATCAGGGCGCCATCTAATGTTCCTTTACTATTCTTCACTGCAAGCAAGTTTTTAGACATTTGTCTATAATAAAATAAGGTTTTTTTATGTGACTGCACTTTAATTAAAACTAATTAACAAGACTGTATTGAACAGCCATATATAATATTTTTTTAAAAAAATACATATACATACTTCCCATATGTTGTATCTTTTAATACCAGCTCTGGAGCTCTGTACCACCTTGTAGCTACATAATCAGTATAAATATCACCTGGGGCTGCTAAAGTCCGAGCAAATCCAAAATCACAAAGTTTAGTAATTCCAGTTTGTGAAACCAAAATGTTTTCAGGTTTAATGTCACGATGAATGACCTAACAGAAGAATAACGTAGAATCTGGTTTAAGAACAAAAAGATATTGTCTGAAAACAGAAAATTACATGCTGTCTAGTTCAGTAAATATAACAAGTACAAGATCAGACTGCTAAGCAACCAAGGAGAAAGATGGGAAGGCACTTATAAAAGAATCATAACTAAAACATTCAATAAAATAATATTTTGGGAGATGGAAAAAAAAGTCTGGGTCAGACAGTTGGACTGAACAAGCGTTCCTGGCTTAAAACTAAAGCACATGGCATATCTATATTATCAGTAGTATTAGTTTTATACTAGTTTAAACAGTGATAGAAATGAGGTTTGGAAAGCAAGTTGCATAGTGAGATTCTAATATGACACCCATTTAATTATTTTCAGAGGTGGACCCAACAAGCCCACTTATTATCATTTTGGGAACTCCATACTCTGTTTTATTTAAACCTGATCTTTTCTGTTAGCAGAACAAAGCATATTTGAAAAAATAAACATGTGGTATTTAATTATAATTTTTGTTTTAATACACTGGAAGGAGCAATAACACAACTGTTAATCATGTATTCAATTTCCTGTAAGTATGTCTTGAAAAAAGGGACTTACCCTTTTGTTCAAGAGTTGGGTGTTTGAGATAGGATGGATAAAGAAGCAAATGTCAATTCAAGAGCCCAGATGAAAGAAGTCTGTGACTCAGGGATGTTTGCTGCTCTGTCAGATTTTCCACATAGAATTTTAAAAGATGGGTATAAAAGAAGTTGGAAATTTTAATTTCAAGTAGATTTATTCTTTTTGGAAAACTACTAGACTTACACTGAAGATCCAGTAAGAGGAAGAATAAGATGACGCATGGGAGTGATTTGCTATTATACTAAATTGACATAACAGGTGTTCCTACAGAGAGGGCATGCTTCCAGGATCCCAACAGATGGCATTCTTTAATTGAAGGAACCCAAAGAGCACCAACCCTGCCAGACTGAATTGGCCAGGCAGACAGTGTGAGAGACAGGCACCCTCTCAAGTAATCAGGCCTTATGCTGTTGAATGGCTTTATAGGAAACTACCAGCACCCTGAATTGCACCCAGAAGCAAACTGGCAACCAGTGCATCTTGCAAATCAGAGGTGTTACACGGGCATACCGACGCATGCCCATCACTGCTGCATTGTGGACCAACTGAAGCTTCTGGATGGTCTTTGAGGGCAGCCCCATATAGAGTACGTTGCAGTAGTCAAGCTGGGCAGTACTTACAATATTTTTGTAAAGTACTTACATTGTTGCTGTGAAGGTAGTCAATTGCTCGAAGAATCTGATAAAGATACCTCTTAAGTCTTCTGCTATCCAGTCCATGAGAATAATGTTGCAGCTCATCTAAAATTGTATGGTCAATAAATTCAAACACTAAATGAATTTTCTTTTTTTGCCTGAAGACTTCAATCAGATTGACCAAGTTTTCATGACGAAATTGCTGTTGACAAAAGAGCAAATACGGAATATTTTGTGTGCTCAGCACTGTCCCCAAGACTTTTGAATACTACTGTTCAACTACTTTTTGATAATGAACTTAAGCCAATATATTGTGAAGTAATTTAATAAAAGTATCACAGATGCTACTATTAACTAGGAAGTCAGCATTTATAACCCATGAAAAAATAACTGAAAACTTGTTTCATCTACATTACAAGTAAAAAACTATTGAATTTACCCAAAGAAAGCCAATTCTGAATTTAAGAATTTTCCCC